AGGACGCAGTAGCTCCACCCTGGTGCATATGGGCAATGCTGCTTTCCCGTCAATGTCTGGAGCTGTGCCCCCAGCTGTGAGGGGCCTCGGAGCTCTTTCAGGTCACGCTTTCTGAGCAGTTTGCCGGGACCAGAGCAGTGTTAATTCCAGGGTTACTGTTTCTTCACTGAGGAGGCAAACCCACCGGAGGTCACCCGAAGCCCCTGTGACCTGGGCTTCCTCCTGGGGAGGCAGGTCCCATCCATTCCTTCTGACAGGAAGCAACTCTTTGTAGCTTAGGAGTGAGCCAGCACCCAGGCAGCTCTCAGCACCATAGGCTCTGTTCACCATCCTAAGCCTCCTGCTGTCCTTTTTCAGCAGACAGCTTGCATTCCCTGCTGCGTGTGGGTCATACAGCTCAGTCCTGTCCATAAATATGGGAAGGATTCATAACCAGCTTCATGAAGCTGAGGGGACATCCTCTGCCTGACCCAACAGCTTTGGAACTTACTGAGATTGGTCCTGGAGCCAAGCACATAGTCTGTCCTGCTTCACAAGTTTTATAGCTAGGGTTGTTTAAATTTTTGACATAATTACATTCCCCTCCCCTCCTCATCCTTTCGCTCAGCATATACTTAGCTGTTTTATTTTACTTTTTCATTCCTCCTGACGGTTGTCACTGGGCACTTTAGTATTTAATGGAAAGGCTGGTGTGACAGGGTTAGCTTTGCACTTTGCTACTTTCCTACTTGTGTCATCTGTCCCTCTGTGCTCTTCCTACTGTCCTAAGTTTGGGTGAAACGGTTAACAGTAGTTATGCTTCTTTGGAGGCCTTGTGAGACACCTTTCAGACGTCTGCCTTCGGATAATACCAAGTCTTTGTGCAGAACCACTCTTCTGCACGGCGTCTTGTATCTCTGATTGTTGGCCACGATAAATTGGCTCAGCTTTCGCTTACTGAAAAACAACCCCTTCCCTTGCTTGGTTTTAGAAAGGTATTTCCAAGCACAGAATTTCAGGCTGGAATTTTCAGGCGTTAGCCTTGAAGATGTCACCAGCCTTCTGGACAATGCTGCCACTGAGCAATTGGTCAGAGATGTCATCGGTTGTCAGTCATTGAGAAGTCAGCTGTCACTGAGAAATCAGTTGTCACAGAAAGTCATTAAAAATGTGACTCATTAGCCAGGCGTGGTGGTGCACGCCTGTAGTCCCAGCACTTGGGAGGCAGAGGCAGGCAGATCTCCGAAGGCCAGCCTGGTCTACATAGTGAGTTCCAGGACAGCTGGGGCTACAG